CTCCATGCAGGGGGGGCTGGGGGGAGGGCGGAGGGCTTCGGTGGGGGAGGCGACCGTGAGAGGGAGTCTCGGAGGCTGGAAGGGACTTTACTGGTCTTCTAGTCTGACCCCCTGGCCGAGGCAGGAGGAACCCTTATTCCACTCCGGACAAAAGGCCGTCCAGCCTCTTCTGGAAATCCCTCCTGATCCCTTCCAGGTCGGATCCCCCTCGGTGGCTTCGGACGATCCCATTTCCCCTCCCAGCGGGATCCCCCTTCTCTGGGCTTCTGTCAGCTGAGGGGCGATTCCGCTGCCCCACTCCGGGATCTGCTTCTGGGATCCCAAGTGAGCGAGGGAGAAGATCCCCAGGGCAGGAGGGGGACTCCGGTCGCTCTTCCCCTCCGGGAAGGGTCGCAAGTGGAGTTTCCCCCCACCCAGAGCCCAGTTGAGACCCCCAATCCCCGATTCTCTTCCAGCCCAAGCCTATAATTCAGGGAGGTTCCCGGTCTGAGCAGCGGCTCTTCCTCGGCCCCGCTTCCCAATTCTCAGCCAAAGGACAAAGGACCCTCCCTGCAGTTCCCCCCCTGGAAATCTCTCTCTCTCACACACACAGACCACACACACACACACAATACACACAGAAAACACACACAGCTTCTTCCTCCAACCCCCATTAGCCGCAGAGGCGCTTGGTTCCGCTTCCCCAGCCTGAAGCTTTGGGCTTCTCCGAAGCAGAACTGAGGAACTGGCCAGGACCCAGCAGGCAACAAGCCTGGATTCCTCAGCAGGGCAGCTCAGGGATTGTCCTCCTCTGCCCCATGGCTGAGTCTCCAGGTGGGGTAGCCCCTTGTTCCTTTGACCCACTGGAAGTGGCTGAAGGGGCCCTTTCCGACTTCCGAGGAGACCTCAGAGAGCCCAGAAAACAAACTGATGGAGGGTTAGACAAATGTCACTCAAAAGACCCAAATTCTCCCTCTTCAGAACTGGTTTTTCATAGTAGTTTGTTAAAGCCATTTGTAACTTCCTCATTGAGGTCAGCAGAAAGTGCAGCTCCGAAGCCTTTGCTCATTGCGGGGCATGAACATTATGAGGTTAAGAAAATCTCGGGACTCTTGGATTTTCAGAGGGAAGTTACAATATCTAATTTATTGGAAAGGCTATCCTGTTTCACAAGCACCTTGGGTAAATAGCTGGATAGTGTAGACTGGTGGAAAAATTCCATGAAAAATGTCTACAAGCCTGTAGTGGATTCTGTGGTGACAGAGGAGGTTAAATTGCTGTGTTGTATTATTGTGTTTAACCTATTTTCAATCTTTGTGTATTCTGTGTTGTTATATTTATATTTTTCAGATTATATTTTTCAGAGGTCCAATATTGTTCTATGTACAATTCTTGTTTTGTTGATTGCATGTAATATTCTAATTTTCTGAGATAGTGGATTTGGGGTTTCCACACTCCTTGCATTTATATGGCTTCTCCCCTGCATGGATCTTTTTGTGGTTTCTAAGTCCACTGCTCCAAGTAAAGGTCTTTCTGCACTCCATGCATTTATACAGCTTCTCCCTTGTGTGGATCCTTTCATGGGAAGTAAATTCCCTGCTTGTTCTAAAACATTCCAAACATTTATAAGGCTTCTCTTTTGTGTCAATTGCTTTTTGAGATGTAAGAAAGTTGTTCCCAATAGAAGGAATGAATGTCCCGTTGTAACTTTGTCTGTTGTGTCTTCTTCTGGCATCTTCTGTTTTGTTTTGGGTTAAATAGTGTTCATTTATTTCTACTTCAGCTTTCATTAGCTTCACACTTTTTCTAGTATATTTTTTCCTTATTTTCTTTTGTTGCACAATAAAGTGTTGTATTGGTGCATCAGTGGAAGATGAGCTTTCCTGATTCCAATTCTTTGACTGGTTTGTCTCATGGCTTTCGAATTCCATTTGAATTCCTAACTTCTCCGTTCCATCTTTAGCACTGATCACTTGGAACAGTTCAGAGGAATTTTGATTTTGCTGTCCATTATTACCTTCAAAGAAATTAAAATGATAACAAGGTTAGAGAAAAAGATCAAAGTGTAGAAAGTCAAGTGAATTTCCTTCTGAATTTCTGTGAAATTCCATTAGGTTCTATGTTTGCAAGCTTACAGTGGTGTGATATAGACATGATGATTTCTATATTCAGGAGTCATGAAAGCTTTGAAAATATCTAGAAAACATCTCTTTTCTTACATTTAACTCTATATATACAAATCTCACTCAGAGTCAGTTTTGAGTTAAGGAATATTCAGGGGAAACATCCAAGGAGGAATTAGGAGAAAAGTTAAGTTTTATTAGGGTGGCTTAATTTCTGCAGAGACCTGTGAGAAATGAAACAATTTTGAAACAAGCTCCTTCTTCCTGGGTGTATCTTGGAGCAGCTGCTCCAAGGCGTCTGTCTGGTGGGCAGGACCTGGCTCGGCCTGTTCCTCGATCCCAGCGATGAGACTTTGGAGATAAATTCCTTGTTGAAGCATTCCATTGCCTTGTAAATGCTCTTTGTGCTGAGACTGGAAAGGTTGGGATGCTTCAAGAATGGCTATTTCACTGCCCCAAAGTCTCACCGGCTTGCAAGGGCTCTTTGGTACAGGCCTCGGTTCTCAGAGAATGGAGGCCTAAAGTACACAAGACCAATAGTGCAAGATCTCAGGCTACTAATCTGGTGTGATCTCACACTGCAGTACTTTAGGCCTGTGTTCTTTGAAGAACTGAGGACTTCATAAGATCCAGGTAAAAAGTCTTTGAAAAGAAAGAGGGGACTGGGTCTCAAATACTGGAGGAGAGCTGGTCATAACTTGGAATGGTCGCTAAGTGAACTGTCATAACTTGAGGATTACTTGTACCCTAGGATGCTCTGAGTCACACTACATGAGGCCTTTGTTCTTGAATTGGATTGGGAGAATGCTCTTCTATGGGCTGAGTGTGAAAGTTCTGTCCTCACACAATTTGGGGAAGTTCCAGAGGACAAATGACAACACACTCCTCTCACATGACCTCGAGAGGACACATTAAAGCACACCTCGTTCTTTTCAGCCTCCACAGATAAGTTCAAATAGAAATGGAAATATACAGATAAGAAATGGCACAGAAAGCATCTAAGCAAAGAGACATTGACTCTTTCCTTCCATGGAGCACGACAAGGCCAGATCCTTTCCTTCTCCCTCCCAGGAGACAATATCTGACAGTGTTTTTTTAAATAAAAAACTAACTATAATCTCTCTTCTTGAACTCTCAGATTTGGGACTAAGAACTCTTACCCAGAGAGACTACGTTCCTATGGTTTTCAAGCATGACTTCCGAATGCAATACTTTCTGGTCAGTATCCAGCTGAGACCATTCCTCCTCAGAGAAATACACAGCCACCTCCTCAAAGGACACAAGACCCTCCTGCACATGGAAAAAAGAACGAAACAGGAGGATTCGCAAGATCTGTTCACCTTCATCATTGATTTAGACAAGAGGATAGAAGGGGAACTCATCAAATTTGCAGACAAGACGAAATTGACAGGAATACCAACACTCTAGAAGATAACCTTGAGATATAGAAGGATCGACAGATTGGGCCCCGTCTAACAAAATGAAATCAACACTGAGAAATATAAGGTTCTATATTTAGGAAAGAAAAAAACAAATGCACTGGCATAGAATAGGTGATACCTGGCTCAAGATTAGTAAGTGCAACAGGGATCTTGGAGTCCTAGTGGACAACCACTTAAACCTGAGTCAGCACTATGCTTCAGTTGCCCCCAAACCCCCCAACAGAATGATAGGCTGCATTAAGAGGGATAGAATCAAGATGACATGAAGTGTTAGTGCCACTTTATAATGCCTTAGTAAGACCACACTTGGAATATTACATTCAATTTTGATTGTCAGATGTAAAAAAGATCTTGAGACTCTAGAAAGAGGGCAGAGAAGAGCAAGAAAAATTATTAGTTGGACCAGAGGCTAAAACATAAAGAACGGTTGCTGGAATTTGGCATGTCTAGTTTCATGAAAAGAAGGACTAGGGGAGACATGATAGCAGTGTTCCAAGAAGCAATGGATGGGAACTATTCAAGGAGAGAACCAACCTACAACCGAAGAGAAATTTCCTGGCAGGGAAAACAATCAGTGGAATGACTTCCCTCCAGGAATTGTGGGTGCTCCAACACTGGAGGTGTTTATGAAGAAACTGGACAGCCATTTATCTGAAATGTTATAGGGCTTCCTGTCTGAGCAGGGGGTTGGACTAGAAGACCTCCAAGACCCCTACCATCTCTGTTATTCTATTCCATTGTTCCCAAAGCAAAGATGTGCACTAAATTAAATGGCTGTGGTTCACACAAGTCCTAATTTTAGGTGAGAAAATTGGCAAATCTGAAAATTGCTTTCAATGAAGAAATATTTGGGGAAGTTTTATCAAGTTTATTGATTCTGCAAAACCTTCAGTACCTTTCAGTAAAGTAATTTCATTACCACAGAACATGGGATTCTCCTGGGCGGCTTCGGGGGATGGGAATGGGAGGCTTTGTGCTATCTTGGTTCACTTCCTTCCTCTGTGGCTGCTCTCAGTCAGTGTTGATAGGAGGGGAGAGATCCAGCCCTCACCCACTGCTTTACGGGGTCTGCAGGGAATGGTACTATCTCCGCTCCTGTTCCACATTTATATGAAGCCACTAGGTGAGATCATCCGTCACCATGGACTCAGGATTCACCAATATGCTGATCATACTCAGCTGTATGTCTTGGGGCAGCAGTGAGTTGTGATGCCTTGTCCTCCCTCTCGCAGTGCCTGGAGGCTGTTAGGGGCTGGATGGGGAGCAATGGGTTGAAACTAAACACTTGCAAGACCAAGTGACTCTGGGTTTGGGGTTCATTGGCTCAGATTAATTGTCACCTTTAGTCTTGGATGGGGTGACACTACCCTAAACAGACCCTGTGTGTAATCTAGGGGGTTTCTTGAACTCACAACTCCTGCTCAAAGAGCAGGTGGCAGTTGTGGCTAGGAGGGCCTTTGCACAACTTCAGGTTGTGCTTCAGTTAGCCCTTTCATGGACCAATGGTCCTTACTCAGAGTCACTCATGCCCTAGTCACTTCCTGTCTTGACTATTGCAATGTGCTCCACATGGGGCTGCCCTTGAAGAGCATCTGGAGGCTCCAGTTGGTGCAAAATGCAACAGCCCGTATGGTTTTGTGCAGACCCCATTTTTAAAGAGTTTTTAAAAATGGTAATGTGGCAATGTATTTATTTTTCATTAGCGTTGCAGAATTGCGAGTCAAAGAATTACCAAAAAAAGTTTGGGTCTCTAGCAGTTCCTGCCACTGTTTATTCCTACTTCTTCAAGGAGTTTTTAAAAATTGCTTCTTGTAAACTACAAGATGGAGGAGAACTTAGCAGAACAAGATAACAGAGGAAGCTATGCTGGCCAACAGCAACTTGAACCTGCTATGTTGTGGAAGAACGCAAAAATAATCCAGGCCAAACAAGGGGGGGAAACAGAAGAACAGAGCACTCTGCACACCCGCTTCACTTCTTGAAGGGAGAATAGAAATCTAGTATCTTTTCCCTTTCTTGCTTGATTTGGAGGTTCAACCGCTGTTTGATCTCCATCATAAAAACCAGAAAGCTTCATTCTTTGTTTCTCTGTAAGGAACAAATAATTTCAAAATGCATAATTAACAAAATAGGAGGTATTCTATAGACGAGAAGGAAGAGCGAAGGTAAGACAGATGGGGAATCGGAGGATCTTCCATTACCTCCTGAGGTGTCCTGACTTGGATCTTCCCAAGGGATCCTCCTGAAAAAAAGCTCCTGAGGGGGATTTGATGGGTTCTTCTTTCCCTCAGCATCTCTGATCTCCACAGTGCAGCACTTCAAAGAGGGGGAAGGAAAAAAGAACCCAAATTAATGGATGTCACATAACACAAAGTGGATTCTTATATTCGGAGCACAACTTCAAAGTCCCCAATATCCATCCAAGTGGCTGAGTGAGAAAACAATGGAACAATGTCCTACCAGAACTGGAGAATTGCCACATATTATGAACATGGAAGAAGTTTGGGAAGGAGGGCGAAGCATTCAAACACTTTCTCTCTTTATTCCCTTCTGAGCTCCCTAAAGTCTCCCACCTGCGGCTGGAGCTGCTCCTTTTGCTCCTCTGCTTGGCTCAGGAGGAAGCCTTCTGCCAGGGCCACCGCCTGGGAGCTGCTCTCTGCTCCACACTCCCGCACCCAGCCCTCCATCTCTGGGGGCAGGAGAGCCAGGAGCCGCTCCAGAACCACCAGGTCCAGCACCTGGGCTTTGCTGTGCTTTCCTGGCCTCAGCCATCGCCTGCACAAGTCATGGAGTCGGCTGCAAAGTCCTCGGGGACCCTCAGCCTCCTGGTATCGGATGGAGGTCCAGGGTGGAACTTCTGAAGGGAGGAGGGTTCCCTCCTGCAGGACCTTCTGCCCGGGTCTGGTCCAGCTCTCCCCACAGCTGCCAGGCTGAAGAGCTGCGGGTCCTTTCCCACTTCCCTCCTTGGCCAAAGGGGGTGTCTCCATCCTTCGTCTCTCTGGCAGAGCAGCTCCAAAGGGCTCCAGGGACTCTGGGGGGTCTCCAGGGGCCTCTTCCTTCATGGCATCATTTCTGGGGCCGCAGGACAGATCCCTGCCAGTCCTTCCACACTCTCCTTCCCTCTCTCTCTCCCTTCCTTCCTTTCCCTACAGAGGAAAATCCTGGCTTGCAAAGGCTGCTGAGGGCTCCGAATCTGGGAGGGAGAGAAAAACGACCCCCGAGGATCAGAAAGAGGGATTCAGCTTCGAACCTCCTTCCCCCAACCTGCTCACAGCACCAAGTGGCCCAGCCCCCCACCGCCCCCAGCAGGGCCGGGAAGGAGGCAGCTGGAGAGGCCACCGCCCCTTCTCTCCGCCTCCGGAGATGGGATCGGGCCCTGGGGAGTCCAGTGCGAATCCTGCTTCCTCCTCCTCCTCCTCCTCCTCGCCCAGCTTCTCTCCTCTCCTGCTGAGCTTTCCACCAGGCCTCTCCTTCCCTCCAGTCCCCTTCATATGGAGAGGGCGGCTGGGGAATATTGGACCCGGGAAGGATCCCCACCCCAACCGGGGTACGTCTGGATGTCCCCCCAACCAGACTCTCCCGCAGCCTCTTCGACTCCTGCGGCGCCCTCGGGTTGAGAAGAGCGAGTGCGGCGTCCTAGAGAGGCAAGGCTCACCGCCTCCTCCTCCTCCTCAGGCAGCCGTGACGTTCGCCCCCCAGTTCGGCCCAATGGGGAAGCGCCTGGAGTTCCCTTCCCTGGACGTGGATTTAGGGCAAAGGGCCGGGAGGGCAGAAAGGGCGGGAAAGAGGAGCGCGTGGGAGGGGGCGGGGATGATGGGCTTGGGGGTAGCGGGAAAGGCCCCTCTCCACGGCTCCCTGTCAAGGACTTCGGAGGCGGCTCTTTCTCCGCCTTCCTCGCCTTCCTTTAGGGAAAAAGCCTCTCGGGGGGGATCCGAACTCGCCTCCCTCAGGAACCGCCGCCCTGAGGGCTGCGCGGAGATCGGAGGAGGCCTCGAAAGGCGCCGAATCCCCTCAGAAACGGCCGGGCGGTGGGAAGACGAGGACCGGGAGCCTCGCTTGGACGCCCAGCTCGGGTCTGGCGGGGGAGGCGGCCTGCGGGGGAGGCGGGCAGGGAGGGCCCCCCACAGAGGGGAAAGGACGGTCCCTCCTTCCTCCTCCTTCCGCGCAGCCGCCCTTCTCGGGCTCTCCCTCCCTCGGCCTCCCAGCGGAAGGGCAGGGACCCCCGGCCTCTCCTGAGGAGCCCCCCGGAAAGGCTCCGCGGGGAAGGAGGGAGGGATGCCGGGAGGCTCCGGCGCGGAGGAGGGGAAGCGGGCGAGGAAGCCGAGGGAGGAGGAGGAGGAGATTCCGGGCCTTTCGCCTCAGGGAGACTCCCAGGACGGAGACGCCGCTTCTCTGCGCCCGCCGCCCGAGGCAGGAGGAGCCCTTGGGCCGCCCCGGAGAAACGGGGACTCCGACCGCCTCCCTGGAAGCCCTTCCAGGCCGGATCCCCTCGGAGGTTTCGCCCCACTGGTCCCCTTTTCCCTCCCAGGGGGACCGACCGGCAGGCAGGGGGGAGGGGGGACTATATATATAATATACACTTAAATATATTATATTAGGAGATTTTAATCTATTCCCTTTCCAATCATAACTTGTAAGCCGCCCAGAGTCCCCTTGTAGGGGAGAGATCATAGAACAGAATAATGGAAGGGACTTCGGAGGTCATCTAGTCCAACCTCTCCTCAGTCAGGAATCTCTTCAGACCGTTTCAGACAAGAGGGCACCCTAACAAAATGTAACATACATAAAGAGAAATATCTTATGCCTCCGTCTTTCTCTTTTCCTGGGGGGACGGGGAATGGGGAGGGGGAACAATGAGGACATCTAGACGGATCCTTCTGGGATCTCCCAGCTCCTCCCTCCCCTCAATCCCCACCTTTGGTTACCCCCAACTTTTCCAATCCGGCGTGGAGTGGGGCTGCAGTGGATGAGAAGGGTGGGGGCGCAGCCTTACAGCCAGCGAGGAATTGGGGGTTGATTGGGGAGTTCTCGGGCGCCTTCACACACACACAGAGAAGGAAGGTCGGTGTTTGGTTCAAGAAGGGCTGTTGTTGATCTGAATGGCGGGAAAGGAAGAGGGAGGGGAGGGGGCCTAATCCCTCCCTGCCTGCCTATCTCCAAAGCTCCAGAAGGCAAGGAAACTGACCAAGGAGAGATTCCCTTCCTGAGCGGGAGTTTGAGACCTGAATGGACATCAAGTCCACCCCTCCATGCACACGGAGGAAAGTCTAACTGAGAATCGTGAAGAGAGCAAAGAAAGGGGAGGGTCCCCTTGAGCTGCAGCCCCCAAAGACTGAAGGGATCCCCCTCCCCCTTTCACTTTCGCTCTCTGAGCTGAACTCTCCCTCCTCCTCCAGCTGAAGCCAGAAAGGACTCTGCCCGGAGACTGATGACGCTGAAGCACGGAGAATTCCCATTGGTGCTTCATACATGTGTTCACTAAATGTGAAGATTGTGCCGTAGAAAGACCGGCCGCGTTGGATAATAACGGGGGGAGGGGCAGCCCCACAGACAGTGAGGAGAAGTTGGAGGTCACCCACAGTCACCCCCTCAATCTGAAGAGAAGCCCCGGAAATCCCTCGGCTAAACCAGGGAGAGGCGCCGCTTCCCTTCAGGGGAGAAAAAGGCGATTCCTCTCCTCAGAAACATCCTGAGGTAAATCTCAAGGAGCCCAGAGGAAAAAAAAGCGCGGAAAAGGGAAACGCCCCCTTTCCACCCGCAGCAACCAATCAGAGCGCAGATCCCCTCAGGCGGGAGCCCTCCCTCCCTCCCTCAGCCTCAACGGGGTGTTTGGGACCTTTGTGCGCTTTCCTTCTCCAGCCATTAAATGGGATGTTTTCACATTTACAGGGTTCAAAAGAAAAAGATCCAAAATGACCTTGCTTTTGTCCATTAGATTGAATTGTCAGGCTGGAATGTTGTTGTTTTTTTAATCTTGCACTGGGCTAAAAAGTCAACATCTTTTTTCCCCTTTGTTCTCTTGTAACTCAGACTTTCTTTTCCCCCCTTTCTCCTTCCCTTAATTTCCTGTTTCTATTTTTCTTTGTGTTTTGTATAATAAACAAATTAACATTTTGAGACTAGAAAAAGTGCAGAGAAGAGGAACAAAGATGGAACGTAAAATATATTTTAAAAAACGGTTGCTGGAAGGAAAAGAAGGATAAGGGGAGACATAGTGGCATCTTCCAATATCTCACATATCCACAAAGAAGATTTCTCTCTTCTCTCCTCTAAATAAATACAGACGGGACCTAATGAAAGAGACGGAGGTGGAATTGCACTTTATAGATAAGAAATAATCAAGCTGCTCCAGAAATGGCACAAAAGAAAGACGAAAACCTCCTTCGAGGCATTTGGGTTCATCTAAAAGGGAGAAAAGAAGCACAGACGTGGAAGCCTTTGTCTGACAGGGAGCCATACAGAGGGGCTTTTCCCCCTACTCCCACGCCCGTCATCCCTACCCTCTCCCTTCCCCCTCTCATGTGTTCCTCTTTCCGCCCTTTCTACCCTACTGGCCCTTTGCCCAAGTCCACCTGGGGGAGCCCTCCGCAAAGAGAAGGGAACTCCAGGCGCTTCCCCATTGGGCCACTGGAGGGCGAAGGAAATGACAGCCTCTCTAGGACGCCGCATTCTCTCTCCTCAATGCGGATATGCTGCGGGAGACCCTGGCCGGGTGACATCCACAGGTGCCCCGGGTGAGGGGGCCTGTTCCCGGGTCCCATGCTCCCCAGCCGCCCTCTCTGTGAGAAGGGAGGGGAGGAGAGGAGGGGCCTGGCGGAGGCACAGCGGGAGAGGAGAGAAGCAGGGCAAGGAGGAGCAGGAGGAAGAGGATGCAGGATTCCCACCGGGCTCCCCGAGGGCCCGATCCTGTCTCCGGAGTGGGAGAAGCGGGAGGGGGATGGCCTATCCAGCTGCCTCCTTCCCGGCCCTGCTGGGTGGGCTTGAGCCCTGCGCTGGGAGGAGCCGCTTGGTGCTGCGGGCAGATTGGGGGAAGTGGGTCAAGGGGCTAAATCCCCTTTTCTGATCCTGGGCGTGTTTTTTTCTCCCTCTCCCAGATCCGGAACCTCAGCATCCTTTGCAAGCCAGGAGGGAGGGAGCAGAAGGACCGGCAGGGATCCGTTCTGCAGCCCCAGAAATCGTCCCGTGAAGGAAGAGGCCCCTGGAAATCCCGCAGAGTCCCTGGAGCCCTTTGGAGTTGCTCTGCTGGAGATAGGAAGGATGGAGACACCCCCTTTAGCCAAGGAGGGGAGCGGAAAAGGCCCCGCAGCTCTTCAGCCTGGGAGCTGTGGGGAGAGCTGGACCAGAACCGGGCAGAAGGTCCTGCAGGAGGGAACCATCTTCCCTTCAGAAGTTCCGCCCTGGACCTCCATCCCATACTGGGAGTCTGAGGGTCCCCGAGGACTTTGCAGCCAACTCCATGACTTCTGCAGGCGATGGCTGAGGCCAGGAAAGCACAGCAAAGCCCAGGTGCTGGACCTGGTGGTTCTGGAGCGGCTCCTGGCTCTCCTGCCCCCAGAGATGGAGGGCTGGGTGCGGGAGTGTGGAGCAGAGAGCAGCTCCCAGGCGGTGGCCCTGGCAGAAGGCTTCCTCCTGAGCCAAGCAGAGGAGCAAAAGGAGCAGCTCCAGCCGCAGGTGGGAGACTTTAGGGAGCTCAGAAGGGAATAAAGAGAGAAAGTGTTTGAATGCTTCGCCCTCCTTCCCAAACTTCTTCCATGTTCATAATATGTGGCAATTCTCCAGTTCTGGTAGGACATTGTTCCATTGTTTTCTCACTCAGCCACTTGGATGGATATTGGGGACTTTGAAGTTGTGCTCCGAATATAAGAATCCACTTTGTGTTATGTGACATCCATTAATTTGGGTTCTTTTTTCCTTCCCCCTCTTTGAAGTGCTGCACTGTGGAGATCAGAGATGCTGAGGGAAAGAAGAACCCATCAAATCCCCCTCAGGAGCTTTTTTTCAGGAGGATCCCTTGGGAAGATCCAAGTCAGGACACCTCAGGAGGTAATGGAAGATCCTCCAATTATCCATCTAACCTTCGCTCTCTCTTCTGTCCTTTAGAATACCTCCTCCTATTTTGTTAATTATGCATTTTGAAATGATTTATTCCTTACAGAGAAGCAAAGAATGAAGCTTTCTGGTTTTTATGACAGAGCTCAAACAGCGGTTGTACCTTAAAATCAAGTAAGAAAGGGAAAAGATACTAGATTTCTTATTCTCCCTTCAGGAAGTGAAGTGGGCGTGCAGAGTGCTCTATCCTTCTGTTTTCCTCCCTTCTTTGTCCTGGATTATTTTTGTGTTCTTCCACAACATGGAGAGCAGAATAGCAGATTCAAATTGCTGTCAGCCAGCATAGCTTCCTCTGGTTATCTTGTTCTGCTAGGTACTCCTCCAACTTTGACTTTGCAGGAAGCATTTTTTAAAAGTCCTTCAAGAAATAGGAATAAACGTATCACAGTGGAAGGAACTGCTAGAGACCCTTTTTGCGGGGTGATTCTTTCATTAGCAAGGCTAATGAAAAATAATCACATTGCCATGTTACCATTTTTAAAAAGCTTTATTTATAACCTGTAGTTCAAATATAAGCAAATTGTATTAAAAAATAAAGCAGATTATTAAAATCCAAAGGGAGTGGCTGTGTTGAGCAGGTAATCATGGTACTTTGGGCTACAAAATAATTTCTAATCCTCTGATTTACGCCTCAATTAGGAGATTCTGTTGGGGGTTTTTTTGACAACTATAGCACTCTCATTTAAGTGGTTGTCCACTAGGACTCCAAGATCCCTGTTGCACTTACTGCTGTTGAGTCAGTTATCACCTATTCCATGCCAGTGCATTTGGTTTTTCTTTCCTAAATGTAGAAGCTTACATTTCTCACTGTTGATTTCCTTTTGTTAAGTGGAGCCCAATCTGTCGATCCTTCTATATCTCGAGCTTATCTTCTGGAGTGTTGGTATTCCTGTCAATTTGGTCTTGTTTGCAAATTTGATGAGTTCCCCTTCTATCCTCTTGTCTAAATGAATGATGATGATGAACAGATCTTGCGAATCCTCCTGTTCTGTTGTTTTTTCCATGTCCAGGAAGGTCTGGTGTCCTTCGAGGAGGTGGCTGTGTATTTCTCTGAGCAGGAATGGTCTCAGCTGGATCCTGAACAGAAAGCGCTGCATTTGGAAGTCATGCTTGAAAACCATAGGAACGTGGTCTCCCTGGATAAGAGTTCTTTTTCCCCAATCAAGAAGAGAGATTATAATTAGTTTTTTTATTTATTTGAAAACCACTAATCAGATATTGTCTCTTGGAGGGAGAAGGAAAGGATCTGGCCTTGTCATGCTCTTTGGAAGGAAAGAGTTAATGTCTCTTTGCTTAGATGCTTTCTGTGCCATTCTTATCTATATTTTCCCATTTCTATTTGAACTTATCTGTGGAGGCTAAAAAGAAGGAGGTGTGCTTTTATGTGTCTTCTGGAGGTCATGTGGGAGGAGTGTTGTCATTTGTCCTCTGGAACCTCGCCAAATTGTGTGAGAACAGAACTTTCACACTCAGCCCATGGAAGAGCGTTCTCCCAATCCAATTCAAGATCAAAGGCTTCTTACAGTATGTCTCAGAGCATTCTAGGGTAGAGGTAACCCCCAAGTTATGACAGTTGACTTAGCGACCATTCCAAGTTAAGTACAGCCCTCTTCCAAGTACTTGAGACCCAGTCCCAAAATTATGTGTGTTGCAGCACCACAGCTGTCGTTCACACTTACGAATGACAGCAGAGGCATTACAACGTTTGCCCTACCTATTCCCCCACCCCATCTCACAGGGACTTATCATATTTTTCAGACTATACGATGCACCTTTTCCTTCCAAAAATGTGGGTGGAAGTGTCTGTGCAAATATGGACTCATTTTTGGCCTCCCAAAACCTCTGCGCATCCCGTTATTGCCCTCTAGGCTGAAAAGGCTGAAAATGGGATGCACAGAAGGTTTGGCAGCCCCAAAACTGGCACATTTCTGGCATGTAGAGTTCTTCTCGAGAACGGGAAGGACAAAAACTTTTTTTTCTTTTTTTCCTTCTCTAAACCTAGGAGCATCTTATAGTCTGAAAAATTTGGTACCTTGTGACAATGTTGTGAGCCATCGGTTCCTTTACCCACTGTGGTGCATTTATAGAAAAAAAGAGACCTAAAGTAGTGAGAGATACGCAAGTTCAGTAGTGTGAAATCTAGCACTATTAATCTCACGTGATCTCTCACTACAATGCTGTTCTCTGCTAATCAAGGCCTGCAGGAGATCCAGGGCAAAAGGCTTTGCAAAGAGAGGGTACGGATCTTCATTTTCAAACACTTTATCCCTGGATCTCGTGCAGTGCTCAGTTCTTAAAAGAACACAGGCCTAAGATATTGCAGTGCCAGTTCACACGAGATTAGTAGCCTGAGATCTTGCACTACTGGTCTCATGTGATCTCACACTAAACTACTGTAGGCCTCCATTCTCTGCGAACTGACACCTGTAGCAGATCCGGCCAAAGAGCCCTTGCAAGCTGATGGGATTTGTGGGCACCGAAATAGCCATTCTTGAAGCATCCCAACCTTTCCAATCTCAGCTCTTAGAGCGTTTACAAGGCAATGGGGGCTTCAGGAATGGATTTCACTCCAAAGTCTCATTGCTGAGATTAAAGAACGGACTGAGTGGGGATCCCGCTTGACAGACAGATGCCATGGAGCAGCGTGTGCGCACTCCATTTTTGGGCCTCCTGTGCCTTAGGAAAGGTTCTGGGAGGGTGTTTTAGCTCCCAGGAAGCTTCCCTGAGGCCCTGAATGGCAAAAAACAGAGTGCGAGGTGGGCGTTTGCAACATACACACTCCGCGCCCGCCCATTTGCCTCCTGGCCACAAGGAAGCCTTCTGGGCAAAGCAGTAAGACAGCGAGGAGAATCCTGGCACAGCTGCTTGTTGTAATAGCTGATCATTGGGAGGAGAGAAAAAAGGAACACTTTAAGGCGTGGCTGGGCGGGGAAGAATACTGTCGGGCATGCATGCAATGTCACGCGTGCGTGATAAGGACTGACTGGGAGGGGTGGGTGGACAGGGGATGGGTGGGTGGACAGGGGAGGGGCCAGCCAGGGACACGATTTACCTGTTTTCCCAACCGTACAGAATTGTAACAACTGGTTCTATAGAACTGGTCCAAACCAGTAGAATCCTACCCTGAGTCAAGCTATTCTCGAAAGCACCTGAGGGTAGGACAAGAAGCAATGGGTGGAAACTAATTAAGAAAGGAAGCAACTTAGAACTAAGGAGAAACTTCCTGACAGAACAATTAATCAGTGTTAAAACTTGACTCCAGAAGTTGCAAATGCTGAAACACTGGAAGTATTTAAGAAGATGTTGGATAACCATTTGTCTGAAGTAGTGTAGGGTTTCCTGCCTAAGCAGGGGGTTGGACTAGAAGATCTCCAAGGTACCTTCCACCTCTCTTATTCTATTCTATTCTATTCCTTAACTCAAAGCTGATTCTGTGTGAGATGTGGATATATTTAGATAATTGTAAAGAAAGAGATGCTTTCTAGACATTTTTGAAGTTTTCATGACTCATGAATATAGAAATCATCACGTCTATATCAAACTACTGTAGGCATGCAAACATACAACCTAATGGAATTTTGGAGAAATTCAGAAGGAAATTCACTTGACTTTATACACTTTGATCTTTTTCTCTAACCTTGTCATCATTTTCATTTCCCTTTTGCATTGAAGGTAATGATGCACAGGAGAATCAAGATTCCTGTGAACTGTTCCAAGTGATCAATGCGAAAACTGGAATGGAGAAGTTTAGAATTCAAATGGAATTCGAAACCCACAAGAGAAACCAGTCAAAGAATTGGAAGCAGGAAAGCTCATTGTTGTAGTTGAGCAATGAGAGGCTAGACCAGGGCTTGGATGCAACAAGACTTTATTGTAGCAATAAAGGACTGAACGTGTTAGCTCTGCCTGGAGCAGGCTCACAGTGATCAGCGGCTGGCCGGACCCTGCAGCTGGCTTTTATAGCCGGCTGTCGAGGGAGGCCAGCCAATGAGGGGCAGCAAACGCCCCCGCAGCATGAACGGACCTGGGTGGGGACTTTGGCAAGTTCCAGGGACATAACACCCCTTCCCCCCAGATGCGAACACGCATAGTCACTTAAATAAGCGGGCGGTCTGTGCTGGCGCCCTGAGCGTCGTAACTCCGGTGAGTTACCAAGTGTCTCAGAGTTCAAGGAACCCGGTGGGGTTGGTGATGGGGTGCAGCCTCGCTCTGAGGGTTGCACAGGCACCGGTGTGGTGCTTCTGGTTGGCGATGTCGTGGCCCCGTCTACTGGTGCCGGTGGCGGACCCATCGGGCAGTCCTGGTCTACTGCCAGCTCCCCTGGTCCAGGTGGTGGTGGTGCAGAGGCTCTGGCATGGTCTACGATGGGAGCTTGGTGTGGCACCTGAGGGTCGACCTGAGCCCACGATCCGACGCTGGCGAAGGTGCCCTGTCGCTTCCTTAGCTGGTCCAGGTGTCTTCTCCAGATGCGTCCGTCTTCCAGCTGGACTCGGTACAACCGGGGGCCGGTGATGGCTACTATCACTCCTGGAATCCACAGTGGGTCTCCGGCATAGTTCCTCACAAATACATGTTCCTGCAAGACAAAATCTCTGACCCCCGTCATTGAAGCGAGAGGGGTGTCAGGGCAATAGTGAGGGTGGAGCCTATCCAACACAGTTCTTAGGCGTCTACCCATTAGAAGTTCAGCAGGGGATTTGTTGGTGACCATGCAAGGGGTCGAGTGTTGACTAAGCAAGAAACGGGAGAGTCTGTGATGCCAATCTTCTTTGCTGAATCTGGCCAACGCTTCTTTTGTGGATCTAACGGCTCGCTCTGCCAGTCCGTTGCTGGCAGGATGGAAGGGAGCCGTGAAGATATGTCGGATGCCAAGATTTGTGGCGAAACGGCTAAATTCTGTTGAGGCAAACTGGGGGCCGTTATCTGAAACAATGGTATCTGGTAGCCCGTGTGTTACGAATAGGCGAGTTAGAGCCTTGGTAACTGCTAGCGTGGTGGTCGTGGATAGTTGGGCCACGTCGATCCATTTTGAGTATGAATCTACGACCACCAAGAAGGTTTTGCCGTGTATAGGACCCGCTAAGTCAATGTGTAGCCTTGACCAAGGC